ACTCTTGTCAATAAAACAGAATCTAGATTTCACTGACTCGGAATGAATATGGCCAAACCCCAATACAGATCACTATCCCACTTTGACCTCCATTCAAGGATGCTTAATGATCCCAGGTATGTTCTCTACTTGCACATTCTCATTTGTTACCCTTTCCAAAACACCCATTTATGGGTCCTTCTTTTCTCTAGGACCCTTTCTCTGCATGGCAGCACAGGCTTTGAGAAAGGCAAATAATGGCCTTGGTTTATTGAATCTTACATGTCATGACAACATAATCTGGTCATGCTGTGAACTTTTGGCAGTACACTAACTTATTTAAAGAGTCTTTGACAGTGAATTCATGTCTTCATGTCTCCCTTCTAAAAGGGAGAGGCAGGACACACAAATTGTTCAGGATTAGAGGGGGATTAGAGTTAGGCTCTACACAGAGACAGCCTGTTTCCTGCTACATATAAAGCAGGTAGGTTCAAATTACTTTGTTCATTTTGAAGGGAAGTTAGTATAAAAATCTGATAGCATTAATTGAAAAATGAGAGACAGATCTCTTAAGTTTTTCTTAATGATTTAAATAAGCAACTCAAAATTCTTCAGACCTTGGGAGGAAAAGAAGAATTGAGTGGAAAGAGGCAATGGTTTTAGTTGCAACCATTCCTTCCCATTGCATCTTTCAGAACACCATGATTGATTTCTTCAACCAGCTTAACGGAAGAACATTAACACATGGCAAAGGTAGGCAAATGGTAACCTTTGGACATTTTGTTCTTCGACTCCCACAGTTCCAAATCATTTGCCATGCTGGCTAGGACCTATGGGAATTTTAGTCCAAAACCATCTGGAGAACACTCAGGTGCCTACTTGTCTCTGACAGGGAATGAAAAGGGAAGAAACATAGCACATTGACAACCATTGTGAAGTGGAAATACCACCAGCTGCTTAGGCTAATAAAAAAGAAGAGGAGCAAGAAACAAGATGACTGAGCCATATTCTAGCCACAGAATTTCCAAAGCTTGACAGAATCCTGTGAACCAAATGCAGCTTCTGCCCAGAGATAAGTATTCTAACGTCTGAACCTTTCCTCAGGGAACCACATAAGGAGGGAACAAATTCTGAACAAGGCTTTATTTCATGGCCAATTTTCTTCTCCAGGTTAGATGCTTTCCCTTAATCTTTAACCCAAAAGTTGCTTCCTTGTATTCATCTACTTTGAGTCATCTCTTTCTGGAGTGACTGAATACATTGTTCACCTTCAACTGAAAGATGTAGATATCTGTGAACTGTCACACACAACCTTTTAATTGCCTAAATTGTTCATAGTCCTTCCCAGTTTTAAATCATCTCCAAATATACTGTGCTCACCTTTGCACTCATTTAAAAGGCTGTTGGTTAAAGCCAGAAGGCACGCCCTTTGCAGCATTCAGTAGAATGGATTGACTTACGTGAGCTGTAAATTTTGTAGATACAAGCAATTTTGGAGTGACATTGTGCAAGATGCAAACTGAGATTGAAACAACTTCTCAGGTAGAGAAAACAAAGGAACAAGACCAGCCACCCAAACCAGGTTTATCCAACCTTCCCCCTTTCAAGGGCCAAATTCCAATGCAGGGACACTCCTGGAGACCACATCTGGGCAGCAGGTGGGGCTAAAGGGGCAAAGCAAAGCATCAAGAATACCAGCACATTTTAGCTGAAGCTCTTCCTGGCACTAACCAAGCTTTAGGAGACATATTTCAGGCATTTAATGCATAAAAAGCCAGTAAACCACCAAATGATTGGCAGCAGAGAGAAAAGGGGTGGGACCATCTGAGAAACTTTAGAGGACCGCAATGGATCCCTTGAGGGCTGGAACTGGCCTGTAGACCTTGAGGTTCAACACTCCTGCCCTAAATTATCTGCCATCTTCCAGGACTAAACCAGATTTTACATATTCTCTGTACAAAAGTTTCCACTTTTAAGATTTTGAGTTAACTTCAAAAGTACAGTGGTACCTCAGTTCACAAATAAATCAAGTCGCGAACAGAAATTTCAGAAAATTTTTGCCTCAGGTCGTGAACTCCGCATCAGGTGACGATTGCCATTGCGCCCACCTTCCCTGCATTGGTGCGAACGCGGTCATGCTCAGGGGATGGAGATAGCCACAATTGTGCTGGGGTGGGGTGGGAATGGGGGAGATGGCCGCAACCTTTGTTGTTCTTTGTCACTTTGCTTCAAATTTTTGTGATAAAAAATGGTTACAGAATGGATTAACCTTATTTACATTGAACCTTATGGGGAAATTTGACTTGGTTCACAACCAATTTTGGTCATGACCAGAGTCGTGGAACGGATTAAGTTCATGAGCCAAGGTACCACTGTACTCCTCTGGGAATATCACCCATCATCCTACTGGGGCCATTCCATTAAACTGCAGTGGACAGAGAGGAGGCAGGACAGCCCGGCTTAATTTCGTGCTTACTAAACTTTAGGCACTAAGCAAGTAATAAATAATAAATCACCCCAAAAAAGAAGGAGTACCAAGAGCAAGAATTAGGAAGATCAGCCACAAGCATGCAGCATTCAGCTGAATGTGATGTGCAACAGCTAAGCTAGAACTCTCCTCTAGTTATAAGATATTACCTTCTGATTGACAGTACATGTCCTGGCCTACTTTACATTTTGCTGCCATTTTCTGTCTCAGTATCCATATTACAGTGGCATGATCAAGTATTCTTCTATCAAAGTGCTGTAAGCTGCTTTGCAGATTCTGCAAAGGCAGAGCCAGTATCCCCTCAACAAAGAATCAGGGAGCACTGTGGTATAGTGACTAGAGCACTGGAGTAGAACATGGAAGACCCGGGTTCAAGTCCCTACTTAGTCATGAAGCTCACAGAGTGATGCTGGGCGAGTGACTGATTCTCAGCCAACCCTCCTTACAGGGCCGTTGTGAGGATAAAATGGACAGGAGGATCCTCTACTCTGCCAAGGGCTCCTTGGAGGAAAAGGAGGGCTGTAAATATATAAATCAAATACCTAACATTTCCTTGAATGTAGAGGATAAAGTGTTTTTGGAGTTGCTCCATGGCTGACAGGATCTCTGTGTAGGATCCTGATCACACAGTGGTTTCTACTTGTGTTAAAGCAAATGTGAGAAGAATGCCTCATCTTCAGACCACTGAGCTAAGTACTGACATAACAGTACATCAGATAAGAGAGAGAGAATGGGCTGATTTGCACAATCAAATAAGCCAGGTGCTTGTTTAAATTCACAACACAGGCCAGACATAATTTGTCTAATTAGCTGCCCAGGCATGACTTCTCATGTTGTCCAAGCCTGGGCAACATGGCTTGTGGTGGGGAAAATGACTCTCCATTAGCTCTACATTGGTTCATGGGCTATCTGAAGGTTGTTCTTCTCTCCAGCAAGCCATGTCAACTGGGTTCATACAACAAGCAATGTCCAGGAGGATAGTAACAGACATGGCACCTAAGATGTGCCACTGATTTAAGCAGTGCTGAATCTCCAGCATAGGTGCTTCCGTTACACTGGCCAAGCCCGTAATTTTGACTCTTCATACATATTAAATACATCAGCCAGGACACCAATAAAGGAAAATGGCATGATACTGGCACTAAGGTTCAAGGACCCATCTCTTTGCACAGGAAGATGCAAAGTTTGCATTCTGAACATGACCACTCTTCTGCTCCTTGCAGACAGATCTGCTTACCAATCAGCAACATAGCCAGATGTGCATGCAGACAGATTCCATCACAGCACTGCAGGGATTCCCAAACTGTGGTTATAGCAAACTTATCAAGTTTATGGGATGAGCGGGGACAGACAGTGCTTTAATGGCACTCCCTTCTGCTCCTAGAGTGGATGAAAGGAAAGTGGGAGACAGCACTGGGCTCTTGGCCATACCTTGGACATACCACAAGGAGAGACTCAAATGAGAGCAAGCTGTCCTGGAGCAAGAGGATGCCCAAATGCTGGCAGCCAACACGACCAGCCTCAAAGTGGAATTGGCAATGGGAAGAAGCAACAGTGGCTCTGAAGCGCTTGCCAATGCTTGGAGCAGGGGTGACAATGGATCAGCATCCCCCTCCTACTAAGTGATGGGTGGAGGTCACAATAAATGAGGCTGAGACGAAGCAACACCAAGGAACTAGTGAACCACAGAGTCTTTAACACTGGAGGACCAGTACACAGTGGCACAGCAGGGACTCCTTCACTAATGCTTGCCACAATTTTTTTTCTGGGCTCTGGCATGAAACATACATAACAGACTTAGTCACTGGCCCTAAATCCACCCTCCTGAGGAATGGAGGAGGCAACCTCAAAATGGCTGCATACTTTGAAAGATTTCACTCCTAGGCCTGCTTACTTGGAAGTTACCTGAAAGCAAAGGGCCTTGAGTAGAGGTAGACTCAATTCTTACAGCTTTAAATCTCAGATGCTGTAGCGGCAAGATCTCTGCTGACTGTTGCAGGCTAATCAGAAGTTGCTAGCTTGGGTCAGACATCCGCCATTCTCTCTCCCTTCACTCAATGGTTTCTAATGGCTGTAAACCAGCCTTTCTCAACCTGAGGTCTTCCATACATGCTGCACTGCAACTCCTGGCATTCTCAGCCAGCTTGTCATTGGCAAGATCAAAACACTGGATGTGATGCTTGCTCAGGGTTGGAAACTGAGATTTCCACAAAAAGAGAAGCCGTGTGATAGCACATGGATGTATAGCACTGTATATAGCACAGTGGATAGCACTGTATCCACCCTTAGATGCGTGAACATTTTAAGCAAGAAAAGCAGTCCTTGAACATTTGCTCAAGTTACCCTAGTTTAACAATTGCTACTAAATGGAGATACCAAGTATACTAAGGAATTCTCCTTTCCTACACCGCATTTTCATTTTCATTTATCTGTCAATGGCTAATTTTTTAAAAAAATCACACATGTTTCAAAAGGCATGGTGCTGCTCGTACAGAACACATATTAAATAGAACTCTTACTCATATGTACTTACTGAGATTGTACCATTGTCTAGACCGATGGATAGTCTTCTAGTTTCTGGGTTAACACACATGCATGAACATGGAGCTGTAAAAAAAGAACATGCAGATTAGGATAAAAATATTTGCTTTCTTGCTCTTGAACAGGGCCTGGCCACATGGTGTCTGCAAGCTCACAAGCCCCCCTGCCAATCCTCTGGGGTGTCCATGAGTCCCCCTTGCTATACTCTTTGCCTACCTGCACTGACCACTCATCTCTTGGATTATGGCAACAAGACCTTGGTATGGGCCAGGTCTTTCCCTCCAGCTGTTTTGTTGGCACAGGACCCTTTCCTCGTCCTCCGTCCCCTATTAAAATTAATGCATCTTCATTGATTTTAACAGAAGTGGGGGCAAAGGCACCTGAAAAAGATCATGGGGGTGTGCAAAAAAGTGAAGATACAGAGAAAGGAGTACTTCCAAAAGTGTATATACTACGGCAATTTGTGGTGGTGCCCAGGGCCATTTTTCAAACCAACAAATGTGCCCATCAGCCCAAAAAGTTTGCCTGCCCCTATTCTTAAATATCAAAAGACCACCTAGCCAATCTCATCCCAGCCCAAAGGAGGAGAAAGGAATCCAGCATGGGATTACCTCCTGCCTAAAGCAGATTTAACAGGTTCACCTGCAAGAACTTCACCAATCCATGCACTGAGGCTAATATTTGGGAACATTACAGCTCACGAGAGGAAACACCACATCTGGGCTTCCTTGGATCAGCTGTGGTGCAGCCAGGTATGGATCAGTTCGCTGCTGCTCCTCACTTCATTCTCACGTACTCAAGCACAGTCACCTACCTATCATGTAGGAAATACCTCTGAATGCATAGCTTTGCCATTTTCTTACTTTCCTGTGCAACTCTGTTTACAAATTCCCAGAAATTATTAAACTTGTTCTCAGTCCCAAGTAATTCCCCCCACCCAGTTCTCTGCCTTCCAGACTGCTTCCTAGCAACAGATTTTCTGAAGAGGCTCTACTTCAGTGCTCTTTAATCTTATTTCTGTGAAAAACTAATATAAGAAACTGCTCTGCAGTAGCTCAGCTGTATCTCCAGCATTATAATTTGGCTGTTCCTTTGGAAGATTGGATAAAATATATGCTGATATCTAGTTAGCTCGTTTTTGAAAAAATAATGTGTTAACATGTCCTTTCTCATTCTTCAAGGGTGCAAACTTTAAGCTATTCAAAGAACAACCCAGCAGCCACAGAATATGGCAAATCTCTTCTCCCACCATCCCAAGTCATTGAGCAAAGCTCTGTGAGCTTTCTCACCTGAAGTTGCTGTGGGGACCTCAGAAGAAGATGGGGAGGAGGAAAGGAGAGGCCATGGACCTGCCAGATCCACAAACTTCAATATTCCCATCCCCATCCACAGGAAGGAAACCAAGCAAAAATGTCTCTGACGTTCTGCCTTGCCTGGCTCTTACAGGTAGGACTTAGAATGGGCAGAACCCTGTATCCTTCAGGTGTCCATACTGAGGGTTGGTCCACCAGTGTGGTAGTTTTAAAGCTTTTGCTGAGTGTACAGAGATACTTTCTATCTCTAAGAACACATTTTAAATAGTGTGGCTGAGAATTAAAGGGACATTTAATTGCTTTTCGAGGAAATTTTGATGTTGGTATTACTGTAATAATGAAACAGAAAACAATGAGTTGAGCTTTTGATACATTCACACACTTCCTAAAAAGCACCTCTGTTAATGTTTTATTAAAAGAGAAGTTTAATTTAGTTAGTTAAATTTAAATCTTTATCTATTGACAACTATACTTTTTATCAAAATGCAAATCCAACTTCATCGCAATTCTGCAGAAGAAAAAGCTTGCACTTTTCATCAACTAAAGTTGACCCAAGAAACATATTTATTCTGAGCTTCTTAAGATAGGATTGTTGATATTAAAGTAACTAGTTTTTAGACAGAATGAGATCTTGCTAAAATCCTGGCAGTGTTAATACATTATTTGGGTATTAGTGAATGGTTGCATAGCATGGCATTTTATTTATTGATTTGATTTTCACCCCATCCTTCCTACCAAGAAAAATGGCACTTAAGGCAGTTTAGAAGAACATGACTCACCAATACCACTGCTGCTAACATCAAGCATTTAGTCATCTCTGTATAATTATCCTAAAGAAAGGTAATATTATCTCAAAAGCCATGGTCAGGTGGAGAATATTGTCACTAAGCTCTTATGAATGCAAAGGAAAATCTGAAATTGTAAGATTTAAGGTCTTCAATCATACAATCTTAAGTTGTAACGCAACACACTCATGTGAGATTTGCCTCTACATGCATAGTGTGTCTGACAACTAGTTTGGTGTCAGGAAATCACCATGTCATGATTTATATTATTACACTGGCAGTCCATTATCCTAAGAATCACTTTGCTGGAACAGCAAGCTTTAAGATTTGGTATCACAGATGTTGGCATTTTAAAAGAAGCTGTATTTCAGATATGAGGGGCTGAAAGCAGGCCCACACCTCTGAATTGCACAAAGGATTCTTCAGTGTCTTGCTCCTAGCCTCCAACATGCAGCTAGAAATGTCTGCCGTGTTTTAACATGAGCAGCTCCCTGCCTCAGCTCTCTCAAGCTCCAAACAGCAGCAGCAAGCCATACAAATGGCCCACCTCTCTTCCGCATTGCCAGTCTGCTTCACATCCTGCAGCCTTAGCAAGGGGAAAGGTAACCCACTGGCATGATCTGGCAGAATTTGGAAAATGTTACTTAGAAAGCAGCAGAAATCTTGTTTTAGGCCTTTTTCTGCAGTTGTGAGCACTAAAGGCCAACTTCCTGTCCCTTTCCCTATCTGTACAATATTTCTACTTCAATCACTTAGCCTTTATAAAATCTGTGTTTCCTCCTGGGCCCATATTATCACCCAGGAATTACTTTGTTTACGGGCTCGGTCTTCGCAAGAATCTTATTTAGAGAGTAAATAAATACTCCACTAAACTCTGCTCACTGATTTCCATGCCTCCCTGGCCATTCCAGCCATCAGCAGCTAATTAGCCTATTCCTTTTTTGGAACTTTCCATGGGTTCCTGTCCATTATTACTGTTGTGCTAACAAGTTCAACATATATGTGAAAAAGTTGCAGCAAACCTGTTCTCCTTTGCCTCTCAAAAACAATTCCTTACATCCAATTCTCACCTTTATTTTTCCCAGGCTGCAACACACACGAATATACAAAAGGCTACCAAACAGCTGACTAGCCATCTGCTTTCTCACCAATCATACCTAAATAAGTTTGCATGTAACCAAAACCTCAATATCAGGACCTTCAAAAATTAATCTGAAGTCTAGCTTCCAGTCTGAGAAACAAAAGACCCCATTCCTCGTTAGCCTCTCTTCTATTAATATTTTCTTTCATAGTTTTGATAGCCCCCTGTGTGAGATATTCTGTACTATGGTAACATCACCTGCATCAGCTTTCCTCAACCTGGTGTCCTCCAGGTGTTTTGGACGAAAACTTCCAGCACTTCTGATCATCAGCCATGCTGGCTGGCACTGATGAGAGTTGACATCCAAAACATCTGGACAGCAACAGATGGGGGAAGCCTATCCTACACCAAAGCTTATAACAACTTAACCAATTTAAATGACATCCAAATTATGGATGATCCACATTTAAAGCCTCCTAAACTTTTGACTTCCAAGAGTCAACTGCAAAAAGTGGTGGTAAAAGTAAAAAGAGTACAGTTGTGTAAAAATACTGCTAAGTATCACAAAATACTTACATGGCATTGTATAGTACATACTTGGCCAATACTGACCACTGTCTCTCTTCAACCAGACGCGGACAGTTCTGTAAAAAAGGGTGGAGAGAACATGTTTAACATTTCGCCAAAATTAGTAGATGAAAATGCCAACAATGACAATTTGTCTATCAAGTCTTCCAAAGACTTGCCAGTAATTAAAAATTAGCCAAGCAAACTGAAATGAGACCCATTGTTATTGATTGATTGATCGTATGCAACATTCACATCACACTTCAATTAAAAACACAGGCATAGAAACATGACATACAAAATATAAGATCCAAAACATTATAAACATATATATAAAAATTACAGATATATATTTTTGCTTCATTTGTCACAACCAGGAAATCAGCAAACTCTCCTTTATAAGCTCTGTTTTGGCACTCTGTCACTATATGTTGGACAGTTTGTCTTTTGGTACCAAATCACCATTGCTCCTTCCTTTAAAATATTTCTCCAATGTGGTACTCACAGGCTCACCTCTTTTGTTACCTACCAGAATCCCTGCCCTTCCAGAATTTATTTTAGATAAGAGGTTTAAAAAAATACTGGGGGGTTGGCATACTGGAAAGCAAAGGACTGCCCTCCAGTGCTAACCTTATTTGGGTTCAAAAGCAACTCTGGAACCTTTTCCTTGTATTTAAATCCATGGGCAAGCTACCTTAATTTTGCCTTCTTGAACATAAGCACTTTGTGCCTAGCCATGCCCAGCATAACAGCCTTTTAATCTGTGGGCATGAGCAACATTCAGCCATTTTAGGAGAGCATCCATGATACAGTCACAAAAATTTAGATGTGCTCACAGACCCAGGTTGGCAATGACAACTTCTGCATTTAAGTTTATAGAGCAAAAATGCTCTCTAGGCTTAGGTCTAGGAGCCACTAGAAGCATGCATGTATAGCTACATTACCCTCTTACTCATTTCCTGAGTTCTTTTAGAACCAGTGCTATTAGTTTTCCCATAAATTCTTGATGCTCCAGGTCCACAGTAATCCAATTTATATGTTGGATTTATATTGAGTAAGCAAAACTAAAAGAAAAAGGGACACACTTAATTTGATATGCTGTACATATGTTGCAAATGTTTTTCCTGTATCGTCCAAAGGAAGTCAAATTGAAATATTTTACTAGAGAGAGAAACTCATTCACACCCTTAATGTTATATTCAAATAAATGCAAATTTTACTTCCACAGTTTATTAATATTGAAAATACTTTAAGAAATGACCATTCTGTTATATATACTCTCTTTAAACAAAGGTACTGCAAATGCATTATAATGATTTTAGCATGCACGGTGACACACTGTGTTTTACCTGTAATAAAATATAAAATAATTTATAATTGTGGGCAAATGGAACAACCCCTTTGATTCATAGAAGGCTTCCAATCCAGCAAGGGGTCTCACAAATGAGAAAAGAGGGGAAAGCAATTTCCAGTGACTCCTCACTTCTCTAACTCCCCTCCTTACTTTTGGATGCTACTTCAACCCTTCAGGAGTGGTTTTTCAGCAGCACCAGCAGCTATCAGCAAAAGTTACATCCACCTCTTTCTATTGGCAGGAATGTCCTGTGAGCAGAAGTCCAGTTTCCGGAGCCTCCCATCAGTAAAAAGGAACATGCAACCCAAGCCTACATTTCTAAATTTATGGAACTAAAAGTACTTGTAGAATATTTTAATTTGAAAAAAATACAGCAATGGAAATCTCTCCAGTTCATATGCCTGTTTTGAACACAGCCAGTGTGCAAAGAGGACAAGTTAAAAAGAAGCAGCTAGCAAATGCAAAGAAGTCTGCTTCTATTACAGTTATCCAATATGAACATTGTTGGGTGAACCTTAATTCTAGCATTAGGGACTGTGACCAGTCACCCTCTGTGTGAACAGACCCACTGCTTCAAAACAATGCCATTTGCTCCAACTCATGAATGCTTTTCAGTTGCCCCTTTTCAGGTCAGAGTCTTCACTCCCACCACATGTTTTATCCATCACCTGCCACACACACAGGATGTACCTTACTGCAACATGCATGCATGTAGCTATCTCCATTAGGCTTCATGCTGATGTGGTTTCATTGCTGTGATGATGAACATCATAGCTACATTAACCAATGCTCTGCCATTTGAATTGGTGTGGTGGCTTGCTATGCCATTTCTTCTTCAGGCAGAGCAATAAAGCTCTAGTAATACCACTTAAGGGCCAGCACCGTGCATGGCAAAGGCACTGACATGCAGGGCATAGCAGGCTTTCCCCAAATGGCTATTTACTAGCAGCCATTCCAACTAGTTGTACCAGAGGGGGAAGAGAGAAAGCAGTCAGTGATTTAGGTGGGACCAACTGTGGTTTGTTCTTCCTCTTGCAGAATTGCCTCCATTGGACCATTTTTGAAACTTGATGGAGAACTGATGCCTCATCTTCCCTGTTTTCCATTTTCTCACCCTGCTTCCAGTTTCTTTCTTCTTTTGTAAGTCTATTCAACTGCAAGCCTTCAGGCAAGAGCTGCATTTCTTCAAACCTGGCAACATGCATTAGGTGCTTTAATAATATGTTGGTCACATGTGCCCAAACCACTCATAGGGACAAGCTGATGGCCACCTACAATCTCAATTGAAACCTTTCTTCTGACATCCACTATTTTCCCAGAGTCGGGCTGCGGAGGGGCCATTTGGCTAGTGGGCTCCAAGTATAAGTCATCTTGTTCTAATGTCTGATTCTCATTTTGAACATTTGACTCTTTCTCGCGAGTTGACATCTCTGTCAAGCCATCAGGCACGACATTACCCCCCCACACACAACCTCCCCTCCCCCGGCGATGCCAGAGACATGTGCCACCTGGTTTGTGTGGGAAATGAGCGTGGAACTGTCTTAAGAGAATGGGTGCATGAATGTGGTCAAGGGGCTCCCAACTGCGGTCCTCAGAGGAGTAGCCCTTCCAGTGCACTAGATATTGCAGGCACCCCCTCCAGAATCTAGAGTCAAGGATCTCTTCGATTTCGAATTCTTCTCCATCCACCAACACGGGCAGGGGTGGGGGGAGTTGAGAGCGGAGGGGGTGCGATTGGGGGGCCAGGGAAAGCAGCGCCCAAAGAAAAACTGGGTGTATTTTTATAGAGGGAGGTAAAGCCAAGTTAAAGGCTACGGGGTTGATTGAGAAACAATCCAAAATGGCCCTGCATGTTTGTGGGCCAATTTGCGAGAAGGCACCGAAAGGGGGAGAAATTCGGTGGACAGCCAGACCCAGTCACCCACGTGGTCCGCAACTTCTTTGTAGGCTGTCTTGGCCCTATCCAGTTGCTGCTTGAGCACGGATTGTACTGAAGCCAAGTCGTGCAGGAAATTCCCGATGGCAGGAACAGAAGTCGTCAGCAATGCGGAGGGAAATGCTTGAGGATGGTAACCCAGGTTTGCATAGAAGGGCGTTTGTCAGGTAGAGGTGTGGACGGAATTGTTGTATGAGAACTCTGCCAATGGGAGAAAGGAGAGCCAATCATCTTGTTGATAGTTCACATAACAGTGGAGGTATTGTTCAAGAGTCGCATTTAGACATTCTGTTTGGCTGTCACTTTGCGGTGATGAGCCGAAGAGAGGCACAGGTCGACTCTGAGCATGGACAGAAGTTCTCGCCAGAAGTGCAAGGTGAACTGACTGCCCTGATCTGTTATTAATGCAAAGGGCCACCCATGTGCTTTATAAATATGATGGACAAACAGAGAGGCAGTGGTCTTGGCTGAAGGGAGCCCCATGCAGGGGATGAAGAGAACCATTTTGGTGAATAAGTCTGTGACGACCAATATGGTGGTGAATCCACTCGACAGGGGTAAATCCGTGATGAAGTCAAGGGAAATGATGTGCCAGGGGCCAGGAGGGGTTTCCAACGTTTGGAGTAAACCTGGGGGTTTTCCAGGTTGGCGTTTGGCCCGTTGGCATGTGGGGCAGGAGAGAACATACGATTTGACGTGGTAGCTCAGGAGAGGCCACCAAAAGTCTCTGGAAATTGTATGCAACATTTTATAAATCCCAAAATGTCCTGCAGATGGGGAATTGTGGCATTGCTGCAGTACCCGTTCTCTGAGTGGTAATGGTACGTACGGGACTTGGTTGTAGAGCAAGATATTGTCCTCGAAGGAGTAGGTGGCAGGTAGGTTCATTAGTCTTCATTTTTTCCCTCTTGGTCTGGATGAAAGGGTCAGCCTGTTGGGCCCGGCGAAGGTCTGTATGCCAGGAGGTGGAGGTGGTGGTCGCAGCAATCGTTTCTGGCTGGAAGGATAGGAGAAGGAGCAGGTTTCACTTTGTTATCTTCAAAATATTCCGGTTTTCTGGACAGAGCATCCTCAAGGAAGTTTTTTTGAGGGCGGTATATATTCTAAGTGAAAGCGGAAACGGGCGAAGAACAAAGCCCACCATGCTTCCCTTTGGTTGAGGATTTTGGCTGAGGCGAAATGAACTAAGTTCTTGTGGTCCGTTTGAATAAGGACCCTGTGGGAGGATCCTTCAAGCAAATGTTGCCATTCTTCTAGGGCAGCTTTGATCGCAAACATTCCTTCTCCCAAATGGTGTAGTTCTTTTCTGAACTAGAGAATTTGTCTGAATAAAGCACCACCGGTCTGAGGTCACTGACCGAACCCTTCTGTGACTGCAATAGGACCGCTTCAATGGCCTTGTTGGAGGCATCAGTTTGCAGTATGAAAGGTGCAGATATGTCAGGGTGAATCAGTTGTGTTTCTGAAGCGAAATGGTGTTTTAAGGTGTTGAATGCTGATGCGACATTGGTAGACCAGTTCAGGCATTGTCCCTTCTCCTTTAAAAGGTCCGTCAATGGTGCTGTCAAGCGAGAGAAGTGAGGTATGAACCAGCGATAGAAATTTGCAAATCCCCAAAATTTCTTGCACCCGCTCAGTGAGCCGTGCATCAATCTGTATGGTCACAAGCATTAACTGTTGCAAAGTCTCTGGCATAGGAGCATGGGCCAAATCATCCAGAATCTCCTCCCTCAGGCCCTCCCGGTACTGCACCATCAAGGCCTCTTCATTCCACCCCAAGTCATTCA